TTATGAATTTATGTAAATTGTTCGGTCTGTATGTTGTAAATCTGGTTCTGCTTTGTGGTAATTACATTTGACCTCTTAAATCTTAACTTCCTCTACGTCCCTAAGAGCTTAGGCTTCAGTTCTTTTGAGAAACTAATTTACTTTGCTCCTGCTGCAATTTGTTTTCTGAGAACAGAATGCCATTGAAGGTTTTTCTAACATCTATCAACTTCATCTATCATTAATTCCGAAGGCATGGCAGTTTGGGGGGGAAAAGGTCTTTATGTGATCCTGCTGTTGAAAAGGTATGGCTTTGGTCTTGCAGAGTTAGTGGGCCCCTAAAATCCTAGGACAGGCAAATGCAGTGCTGAAATGTGGCTGTCAGAAAGAGCCTGTTTCATTGTGATGGATATAGAGCTTTTGTTACTGTGGTTGGAGATTAACTGCCAAGTTTTTGTAGCAGAAGGTTAGATGAAATGTCACAAACTGTGAGCATACGTGCTGGATAGCTCCCTGAAAGATATACTTTTTCTCTTACTACGTGATCCATTTATGTTGTCAAACGGAAGAGGTTCTAACACGAAAACACATTGACCACATTGTTGAACAGCTGGTCTTTTTCTTAATCTTTTAACGTTCTTCTGATTAAATTAAATTACAAAGTAATGGGCTTCAGTTTGAATGCCAAAAATATATCCAATAAGCAGTTACATCTGACTTTTAGGTTCAGTTTTTCTCTGTTTTTTAACCACATCCCTAGCTTTTTTTCTTTTGTTGCTTTCTTTTTATCTAGAGGTTATTCCCTGGTGCAGCTGAATGATTTGAGAACAATTCTGATTGTATCTATATGCAGTTTGTATCCCGAGATTTGTATTGTCTTGAAACCATACTTTCTATATTCAGTTTAGACTGAAAACAATGAAGGGGGTCAAAAGATTAACAGAGATTTGGAGGTTTTATTACCTAAGAGAGAAAGCTTCTTGTTTCAAAGGAAGCCTACTGACAGACACAATTTATAACTTGTTGTTGCAGCTGGGATGTCTATGGGGTGCTAAAATGCACAGCAGATCGAATTCACAATTCTAGAGCAGGTATTAATACTGGGGTTTGCTTGAAAAAATGTAATCGGAAACTCGGAGTATTTATTGCTGGTTGTAGAGTGTTTTGATTTTTAAGCGTCCTCTGGCTGAGCCCCAGAATTAAAGCAATTTCTATCGGAGGATTGATTTATTACTTAACATGTTTGGTTGTATTTCTTACAAGTCCGTAATGCCTCCCCTTAGACTGTAAAAACTTACTCAAACTTTTTATGTCGCTCGTAAAACTTTCTGATTGGATTGGCTTTGACATTACAGCGTCGGCATTTCCTGCCCGCTCCAGTATAACACTTGACCATGGCCAACCCACCCCTGACCCGTGGCCATCCGTGTGAGAGGGGATAAAACTAGGCCGTTTGCGTAGCCTGGCGGGCTGCCAGGGTTCTCTGTGAAACACGTTTTCTTGCGGAGCTGTTCCCAAAGCATCACAGGGCTAATTCGATTTGAAACCGCTATTAACATGTTATTATAGCCCGTCCCAATCACGTTAGGTTTGTCAGTATTTTTTTTACAAGATGTTTCCACCCGTGCAGCTTGAGAGGTTTCCTGTCAAAGAAGTGTGTGTGAGAAGTGTCTGTTCTCTGGGATCGCAAAACATCGGTCCATTTCTGGTTCAGCTGTGACAATTAGACACAGCAGTGCGTGTTTACTGCATAGGATAAAAGGTCATTTGAAAAACCGATTTTGCAGCCTCAAACAAACAAAGGGGAGATCTACTGTTTGTGCTCCTTGTGGTGATAGTCTGTGGTCACTGGTGGCCTAACCCTGTACCTTTTTTACACTGGAGCTGAACAACCTGTGAAATGAGACGTTTTTGTCTTCTGTGGTTCCTCTGGAAGCTCAGCATGACCCTTTCTGCTGTCGTGGGCTGTGAATCAACCCCCCCTTCCCCCCCGCGAGACCCCCGATGAGCCTCTCATTACCTTGTCTCAATGAGGCCGATCGGTGACGGGACGAAACCATCGGCAGTCACCTGGGGGCCTTTCTCACATCGCTCGCAGGACACCGCAGCCACACCGTGTCTTGGAACACAATAATCCCTTCCCTTCTTTGTGCATACTGATTGATTGATTTAACCTATGCTGCAAGAGGATATGCTTGAAGAAATGTAAGCATGTACAATTTGCTTTCTGTAGCTCTGGAAGGGGTAAAAGGCCTTAATGCGCACGCCGTCTCTTGAGTGATCCATCGGGGCAGTGCCAGCACCAGGCTCGAAGATGAAGTTTGGCCTTTGTCATTAGCCAGCTGTTTTTTTATCTGTAGAGCCTTCCATCTGTACACCCACACCGTACAGGTTTGGTGAAAATGAGCATTTTCGCACTCACCCTTTTTACCCCCCTGCAGTGCTTTTCAGCAGTTTTATAGTCATTTGTGCAGCTGCAGGCCTTTCATAATAAAGGATTAAACTCTACAGCTGTGCCTGGCTTATTATTGGTCTGTATACGCGCCCCTTGCCTTTGCAGGTAAGCAGCAGAGACAAAGCGATTTGCTTATAAGGCTTCTGCAGGGTCATGTTTTGAAAATGGTCTGGACTTTCAGAGTGTTTATAATAACCCTGTCTGCTAAAAATGGATCTGCCACGCACGTGGATGAAAGTGTCAGCTCGGTATCACTTTCAGCTTGCTGGTATTTCCATGGTCTTAAAACCAGACTTGGGTGATTGATATTGATTTATTGTGGACAGATCACAAGTTGATTCTCTGCTATAAGTAACCAAAACCAGGCTACTTTGATGGGACAAACGGATGGGTTTTGAGGTCAGTTGCACTTTATTTTCCTCCTGTAGTGGGTTGAAATGCTGAAAGATATGGATTGATTGTGTGCACTATGTGAGGTTCCCAGTTCTCATTGTGAGATATAATCATGAAGAAAAATGTAATGAAATTCAGTTTAGTGGGGTGTAGTTTGAGGTAATGTTGAACAAACCCCAGTCCAGCAGCTGTTTTCTGCCATTCTCTAAACAGGTTTCTTGCAACCCACTTCACCCTAGACACATTGCAAAAACATTTGCAAATCAGCATTTCACTAGGCAAAATGTAATTACAATGCTGTTTTTAAAATTGATCGACCAAATGAAACACACAATGGTACAGCTTTCCAGCCAGTATTAAAATTAAGCATCCCTCCTGATTGTTGACCTAGTTGTTAAATTAACTCGGCAGAAACCGAGTAAAGCCTTAGGCTTTGAGATAAAGGAAGCAATAAAAGAAATGCAGGGTTTGGCTGCAGAATTCTTCCTGTTAACCCATATTTGCAAGTGGTCTCTGAAGCCCAGCTGCAGAAGCCTTACCTGTCAAGATGTGATCAGTGCTAGCCACTGCACTTGACCTAGAGTTGTGCTTACCCACCCTGCCCTCTGTTCAAGTTCTTTCTTCTGCCCTATATCAATGATTTAAAAGCGCACTCCCTTAACCAGAGGTGACACAGATGATTGCATTTTTATTCCCTGAAGACCCAAAGACAGGGTAATTGTTTTTATTGGAGACTAAATGTGCCTGGCATGGAGCCACCATAATGAGAGAGCCCTGTCCAGCTCGTGATGGATGCCTTATTATGACTTGTTCACCCTGACAGATTGCAAAGTCTCAGTTTTCATTGGGATCAACAGAGAGGGCCAGATGACACCTCTCTCTCTTCCTCAGAAGGATCCTTCAGTGGTGACAAGAGGATGCTGTGGAGGTTAAAAACACAATCCTAGTATTTAGGGTAGACAGCGTGTCACTGTGTATTTTGTTCATGGACAGCAGTTACTCCAGGATTAGGTTACTTTCTTTGCCTTGTGCAGGATAGTTGAGGATGATGATGCAGAGATTACTATAATGTTTGTGTCTCGCACAGAATGTCTTGTGTTATCTTTCTCTTCACTTTCCACCCCTGTTTTATTCATGGGAGCTCTTTCTATCTATATGCTAAAGGAACACGTCGAAAGAAGTTAGGAGCATGATTTTGCGAGCCATCCACAAGTTTTAAATTTGAGGCTCATGCCAGCCTTACAAATTGGGAACACTTTCTGTTATTTGTGCCTTAAATGTCCTAGCATGAGATTTTTTTTTCCCCAAAAGTCATATCTTTTTTTAAAGTAAGGTGTTTTATTTCTTGCATATTATGAAGTACAGTAGAAACGCATGCTGTGAAGAGAGACATTTGAGTCTGATGTGAAGAGCATGGTGTAGGGTATATTACCTGTTGTTGTAATACAAACCTGGAGTTATGTGCTGAGTTTTCTCAACTCACAACTCTTTTTGTTGTTTTTTTTCCTGCTGCTTGTGTAAAAGAAACCTTGGTGAGAAACCAGACTGTAGTTTGTGAGGTGGTCTTTTCTTTGATTTGTTAAGTTCCAAACTGGAGCTCTTTTCTCCACATGGCCAGTTTACATTGGTCTCAAGGAATCAAAACAGTCACTCTTTCATAAGCCTCTTTCCTGTTTTGGAAGGAAAATACTAGAGATTTTAAAACAAGGGTTGTATTTACCAATGCGTACTGTACCAACACAGCTATTTTTCTCAGCTTCCTTGGAAAATGGGCACCTCCCTTAAATAAACTAACAGGAATGTTCCCAAAAAGAACATTCTTTCATGTGAATGTGAAATGTGAGGACGTGCCTCTTGGTTGATGCTCAGCATTTGCACAAAGTACAGCTGGGACTGGCTTAGGAGACTTAATTTCATTAAATGTTTAAATGCAATTACTCTTCAATTAGCGCTTTCGGAGGATTGAGAGTCCAATGTTCGACTTGTGTGTTTCATTCTTATTTACCTTTCCTAGACAGTGTCTAACTGCCTGTTCCAGCGTGTGGTTAAGCCCTGGCTGTCCCTGGTTCTCAGCCGAGATAAACAAGCGTGTGATGGAAGTCTTGGTGGCTCCAATGAGAGGATGGGAGGGGTGCCAGGTTTCTGCAGCTGATCTCTTGCTGTTCACTTGCAGTGTCTGCTTGGACGCCCGAGACCCATACTGTGGATGGGATAGCAAGCAGAAACGATGCACCACCATTGAGGACAGCTCCAACATGAGTCAGTGGAGCCAGAACATTACAGAGTGCCCAGTAAGTGCCAGAGCTCTGCATTTATTCCCAGTGCATCCAGTTTATAGTTACATATATAACCTTGAGCCGGGCTGCTTTGCTTGCTGTCTCCTTTACCCCTTAAGGAATAGAGTTCTATTTTACAAATTCAGGAATATTATTTGTATTTATGTTCTTAGCAATCCTCAGTTAAGTAGTCCCCATGCAAGACAGCCTGGGTGCCTGTTATCTACACTGTTTATGAAATGTCACTCTGCTTCTTCCGTGTAGTTTAATTCTGTTAAGGACAGTACGCTATGCTATTTTGATGCCTGGCACTGCTCAGCTTGAACCCGCTTTGGAATGGACCTTGCAGGTGAAAAACTTGACAGTAAACGGGGCGTTTGGGCCTTGGTCACCGTGGCAACCCTGCGATCATGACGACGGGGACAGCACTGGAACGTGCCTGTGCCGCTCAAGGTCATGTGACAGCCCGGCTCCTCGCTGTGGAGGATATGGCTGCACCGGGCCTACCAGCCAGGTGGCCAACTGCTCAAGGTAACGAGCCAGTCAGATCTGCGCCGTGTCTCTCTGAGCCGCCTCGGCTCTTACAAGTTTGTCCAAGGAGAATAAAAACCTTTTTCCCCCCATCAGTGCTTAATTCAGTAAGCTTATAGCGAAACATTCCTCTAAAACTTAGTGTGTCCTTGATAAAAACATCATATCAAATGTATTTTGTTGCTGTGGGATATAATCAAACAGTGTTTATGAGGCTTTTAATCCATCTGAGAACACATTTGCCTGAATTTACAGACATTCATGAAACTTTTTCCTAAATTAATTTGGTACTTATATTGTGGAGCCAAAGAAAATAAAACCTCACAGAAGAATAAAAACATCTTAAATCAGGTGTTCCAAGAGAAAAGATTGCAGGCTGGTGAATAGTGTTTCGGAGTTCACCTTGACCATTTTCACCATGCTGCGAGCTGGTTTGAGATTTAATTTTAGAAGTGAGGGCTCCTGGCCTGTTTTCAATACTATGAGAAATGTGTTCTCGGGGAAAAAAAACTCTCTTTCAGTCAGGTGGAGGGGATTCAAGTGCAGCTGTGACTTTTAGATGCCTTCTTTTTTCTGTTGTACTGGAGAGGTAGCCAAGCTTTTACACACTTTGTGTCGGGAAGGCTCTCCACCCTGGGCTGAAAAAAAGTGCTTTGTACTTCTTAGATGCAGTTTAAAAGCTTTGGAGTCAACCCATTAATTATTCAGAAAAGAAATTGCAGGATTTAAAAATCGTGCTGTGTGTAAGACCTCAGCCTCTTGGCCACAGGCTTAATGGAAGCAAGCAGACATTTCCGAAAGAATGGTGAGGTTTTGTCGCAGTACCACTGTACCCTTCAGCCGTAAAGTCTGTCTGGTTTAAAACATCTCCATCACTCAGTATGTGTTTAGTTAAATCTGGACAATAAAGAAAGCATTTAAAATGGCGCGATTATTGGTGGCTAACATAAATTTAAGACTTACTGTACTTCACCATACCTGGGCGTTTTCAATTTTGTTGTTGAGAGAGCCGGGATTATCTAGACTGTACAAGAACGCCACCACTTATGCCTGGAATGGGAGTGAAAGATATAGTGCTTAATTTGGAATAATGGAGCGGGACATTTGTCTGTCTGCCTACCATCCAGACCATTCTGAAGGCTTCAAATCCTTTACCAAAGGTGACATGAATAGAGTCTTTGAAAAAGAGGCTGGTTTGCCTCCTCTCTGAGTTCTTGTTGCACAGCCATCTGTTTGTAGCCATTACCCAATTATAATGATTGAGAATTCGCCTTGCCGGAGCTTTGCTGAAATAGATAGGTTCATTTTATTCACTGCATAACTATGCAAGATTAAAAAGAGGTGCTGGAACTGAATTGTATTTTACAGGAAGTAGCAATTAAATAATGAAAATGCAACACCAGAACAAAGCACTTTAGGAAATTGAATGTGCCTTTTTTTTTCTTTTAACTCCTTCCAGTACAGCCAAGGTTTCCAGTGTATCAGTGTTTTAAAATCTGCTGTACACAGCAAGCGTATAAATCAGAATTTAACAGGAGCCAATTACAGCAGTAGCCAGTCAGCTTCTTAGAGGCCTGTGTGACACACTTTGTATGTGAAAGGATGCTGCTATGAATGAGTAAATCCCTTTGCATAGGCTGCAAAGGAACAGGTAAAGGTTTTTTGGAATATATCAAGCAACTAGATCCTACAAAGGAACAAGTAAAGGTTTATTCCACACTGAAAAGAGGAGAAAAGAAACGCAATGTTTCGGCTGTGAAACGCTGTGTTTCTTTTCTTCTCTTTTCAGCGTGGAATAAACATTTACCTTTGCCTTTGTAGAATCTAGTTGTTTGATATATTCCAAAAAACCTTTACCTGTTCCTTTGCAGCCTATGCATGCTGACGCAGCCACCTACTTGAACAACTAGATCCTACGTTTTTTCCTTTCCTACACTGAGATTAAAAAAAGCACCTTATTGCTCATAAGAGGTGGTCGGCCCGTTCTTGCCCCGTGGAGGCAGTGCTAGAGTTCTTCCTTGTGTTGCGCAGGAACGGCGGCTGGACTCCTTGGTCCTCCTGGGCCCAGTGCAGTACCAGCTGTGGGATCGGGTTCCAGGTCCGCCAGCGCTCCTGTAACAACCCCTCCCCGCGGCACGGGGGCCGAGTCTGCGTGGGGCAGAGCCGAGAGGAGAGGTGAGAGAGGGGCCGTCCTGCGGGGGAGACTGCTCTGTCGTGTGACCTGCGAAATTCTTGCAGTACGAGCAGGGACGGAGGTCTGTTGAAAGACGTGCTGTGTAGGCTTCACCCTTCGGGGTCATATATAGCCTTTTTACATGAAAGAGCTTCTTTTTACTTCAGGAGTAATCAATACTGCCATGGAGATCATTAAGCAAAATCTAATTTACAGCTTTTTGTAGATTTTCAACTTAAAGATTTTAATCTGGATCTGTAAAAGTATATTGTTCCCTTGGCTCAATATGGCATTTTTTTCCCAGTCTCTTATACTCAGCTTGGTCCCTGATTGCAGAAAAGTCAATAATTCCATCAAGGTTTTTTTTCCTTGGGTCAGACACACCTCCAGACTGTCCAGTATCGACTAGGAAGCCTTCTTCTACGTGTGGACTGTGATCTCCGTTAGGAGTCTGTGAACCGAGCTGTTAATTCTACTTGTTCGCCATTGCGTTGCGGATCCTGCAGGTTCTGCAATGAGAACAGCCAGTGCCCACTGCCCATCTTCTGGTCCTCCTGGGGGTCGTGGAGCAAGTGCAGCTCGGAGTGTGGCGGAGGGGTGCACTCCCGCGTCAGGAACTGTGAAAATGGGAACAGCTGTCCGGGCTGTGCGCTGGTATGTGTGTTCCTGACCGTTCGCCCGTGTGTCTTGGCCCAGATGTCTTATTCTCATTCAGGAACTCCCCTCCTCCCTCCCCGAAGGGTGTGTGGGAGCTGTCCAGTCAGGCCCCCTCCTGGTGAGGTTTAACCAAAGTGACCGCGTGGGTGTTTGACAGGATGTTCAGAAGAGGGTCCAAGGGCTTTGGCCACAGCAACAAGATCAGGCTTAAATTGTAGCTTGCTGGTGTCAGGAAGCCAGGCCTTTGTGGAGCCGATTGCGTGGATCTCTTCGTTTCATAAATGAAAAACCCCGATAGGCCTTTTTTTTTTCTTGCAATGAAATTGACTCGAATGGATGGAAAAGTATTTCCTGTTCATACGGTTGAGGGTGTTGGATTGTGGAACAAGCTGCCCACATGTTCCTGAAACCAGTGCTCCGCTTCTTTGGGTTCACCGGCTCGACGAGATCCTCAGATCAATTCGCTACTAACTGCCAGGCAGGCGAGGTGCTCCGGAGGGCCCCCTCTTCTCACTTTGCGATGTTCCGCGTGTTCTTAGAGCTGTTCCTTAAGAGCTGCGAGATTTACGGACGTCGGTGCGATTAAACCACTGAAGTCCAGGACAGTTCAGTCGTGGTGCGGCCCGGCAGCGGCGGGGCTTGGCCCGCGTCGCTCTGCTGAGGCTGGCCTGGCTCTCTCCCTGCCCGCAGGAGTACAAGGCCTGTAACCTGGAGTCCTGCCCCGAGGTAAGGCGGAACACGCCCTGGACCCCCTGGATGCCGGTGAACGTGACACAGGGAGGAGCCCGGCAGGAGCAGAGGGTGCGCTACACCTGCCGGGCGCAGCTGCCCGACCCCCACGAGCTCCAGTTCGGCAAGCGCAAGGTGGAGACGCGCTTCTGCCCCAACGACGGCTCCTCCGCGTGCGAGACCGACAGTGAGTGGGGTTGTTCTGTTTGTTCTGGAGCCGTTGGCTTTGAGCCCGTAAGCGCAACACGAGGGACGGTGATCCTCCGATAAGAATGTGTGTTGCGTTTTTCGACAAAAGCTCACAGGGCTTCAGACACGCATCCTTTTTGCCGTTTAAGCCGGTATCTTTGTTTTTTAAGGAGGACTTGAACACTTGGGGGGGAAAAAAAATGTGGTTCCTGAAAAAATATGAATAGCAATATAGCTGCAGAAATGAGGAAATACCATGCTTTATGCCATTTAATATTAATTGAAATGTTTCACAAAATGTTTGTCCATTTAATGAGGCAAAAAAAAGAGTTTTGAATACTGCGTTGTCCTGAGGTGGGTGGCGAGCCCTCATGCTGGAGCTGCAGCTGCTCGTGCAGCACTGTTAATCGGCTTAGACGTGGGTGCTGTTCTTCACTGTCAGCAGTTTAGGGACAGTATTTCCACCAGTGTGCTGAACAGTACAAGACTGAGACCAGGGATTCGCTCGCCAAAAGGGTGCTCCCCACCCTCACGGTCTGTAAAGACCAGCATGAGTATTCTGTCAAACACAGGTGAAATATTGCGGTACCATGCGTTCTGTCAGTGTCAGCCTCGAGTCACTGAAGAACAGAAGCATTTAGCATCGTGAGAAAATAAGTTGTGTAATATGCTTTCCAGTTTCTTTAACATTTTTTCTTTACTGTTGAACTAAGTGGGAACATAAAGATACAGTATGTTTTCCAAAACAGTCCCATCACGCATTAATCTATCACTGATTAGCTATCACTGATAGTTGAGCTTCTGCCTTCTAGACCTTGTCGAAACCTGTTTCTGCTTATAGAAAAGGCAGTGTGGAGCAGAAGCCTGGGTGGGTTCAGGGTCATAACTGGAAGGTTGTGCGTTCAAATTTCAGGTCAGACACTACTGCAGGTACACCCTTGAGGAAGATAGTCGAGTCTCTCCAGCATAAAATCTGTATAAAATTGTGCAAATTTAAGTCACTTCAAATAAAACTGTCAATTTTTTTGCTGGTGCTCTTTTATTGGCTGTAAAACATCCATTCACCCTTCATCCCCGAAAGCAGACTTTCGTCCCATAACGAGTTCTGATTTGCCAGGTCGGTTTCTGTTCTCTAACCTGCGATTCTGATGTCTGCTCTCTGACCCCCTCGCAGCTCTGGTGGAGGACTTGCTGCGAAGCGGCCGGCCCCTGTCCCGTGCGGCAGGAGGGGGCTGGTCCCCCTGGGAAACCTGGTCCCCCTGCTCCCAGGACTGCGGCAAGGGGTTCCGCACGCGGCGGCGCACCTGCGCCGGCCCCGAGCCCAAGGGCGCGGCCCAGGCCTGCTCCGGCTCAACACTGGAGTACCAGGACTGCAACCCGCAGCCCTGCCCCGGTAAGGCCGGCTCCCTGCCATCGGGGGGGGGGACCCCGGGACCCCGGGACCCCGGGACCCCTCGGCCACCGCCGATTCTCCCGTTTCTTAAAAAAACTGCAAAATGAACTTGGCAGCGCGCGGAAAGAGGAAGTCGTAAAAATGTCCCATGAAGGCCATAAGAGAAATGAATTGACACCTGTAAAGGATGTGGAGTGCTAGGGAATGCATCATGCACGTCTTATTGTTGAAACATGAAGGGTTTTAGTTATTTATTGCTGATGGAAGGTGATAAATACCCAACAAGCCTTTATGCAGGAGCTTGACGTCTGTTCCACTCTGGTGTGTAGCTCATAAGTGACTTGCAGGTGCCTCCTATTCTGAGGTGCCATCAGAAATCCAGTTTTACAGTGCACCATCTACATTGGACTTCTCGCTTACAGGCCAGCAAAATATTTTTTCAGGGCTAGGAACTCTTCTAGGATGCGCCGAAGTGTGTGGGTTGTGTTCAGGATTAAGCATTCGTACATTGAAAGCGCAGGGCTGGGTAAGAATCTAGGCGCTTACATAGCTCTGCAGCTGTTAACGGTTTCCTCTTGCGAACCAATTGTCTCCTGTCAGTTTCATTTAATTCCAATTGATTAGAAATAGATATCTGGAGGAGCTGAATGAGAACCCCCCCTTCCCTCAGTGCTCTAATAAAGCGCTTCTTATAATTAGGTTCGCTTGATATACTTCACTGAATTTTTGCATCATATTTAATATTTCATTGTGGAGTCTTCCCAGATGTCCTCTAACGCACAGTTTCATTCTGCGCTTCCTTCACGTCGGCACACACAGCTGTGACACGGCACCCCTGCACCTGCGCGGGGGTTTATCTGCCATCGAGTCAGTCAGTGGTGGGTCAGTGTGGACCCCTCTCCAGCTCCAGACTGTGGGCGCAGGCCCCCTGGAGGAGGGGGGTGTCTTCTGTGGATTAAAACTCCGAACAGAGACTTGAAGCGGGGTCAGTCCTATCAATCTGAAAACCTCGGAGACGTAGAAAGCACAGCAGCGTTCTTGCTGCTCCCGGGCACGAGGAGGAGCTTACTAGAAGTAAGCGGAGGCGGAGCGGTGGCCCTGTGGCTCAGGATCTGCCTCTGTGACTGGAAGGTTGCCGGTTCAAATCCCGCGGCCGGCAGAGGAATCCTACTCCGTTGGGCCCCTGAGCAAGGCCCTTCACCCCACCTGCTCCAGGGGCGCCGTACAATGGCAGACCCTGCGCTCTGACCCCAAGCTTCTCTCCCTGTCTGTGTGTCTGTGTCTCCATGGAGAAAAGCTGGGGTATGCGAAAAGACGAATTCCTAATGCAAGAAATTGTATAGGGCTAATAAAGAAACATTATTATTATTATTATTATTATTATTATTATTAGAAATATTTTCCTACTATCAAGTTCCGTTTTAGTTTTGTGCTGTTTCCTCGGAGGGCGGAGACAGAAATGTTCTAGGTCATCCCCGATCTTGAGTGCTTCCAGTCGTCACACGGGGTCCGCTGCTTGGAGGATAGAGCAGTGTAGAAGCCCCCCCAGCCCTGTTCCTTGTGTCCCGAGCGAGAGGAGGCCGCCCCACACTGACCTCTCCCTCTGTGTGTCCAGTGAACGGAGCCTGGTCTTGCTGGTCCCTGTGGTCCCAGTGCTCGGTCACGTGCGGGGGGGGCCACTACCAGCGCACCCGGACCTGCACCGACCCCGCCCCCACCGATGGAGGGGACATCTGCATCGGGCTGCACACCGAGGAGGCGCTGTGCAACACACACTCCTGCGAAGGTAGGGAAACACTGCGCTGCCGAGGCCTTTCACCAACGGTGATTCAAAAACTGTACTTTGGTTTCCGGTCTAAGGACTTAAAAGATTTTTAGGATGCAGTCGAACAGAACTTTTCAGAAACACCAGCAGCTGAAATGTAACTGGAGAAATAGATTTAATCCGGAGTTAAAGTCAATTTCCGGCACCATCCTGTACTCTAGCCAGAAAGATACAGATGATAAAATTAATAATAATCATGTGAGCACTGCACCTCAAGTACACAGGTGCTTCAAAACCCCAGTCTGCTGCAGGAAGCTAATTGGAAAGGATTTTCAAAACAATCTTTGGCACCACAAATAATCAATTCATAACATAGTGGCAGAGACCCTAGGAGGCGTTTGTGTGGGAATTAGTGTGCTGGGTGAGACAGTGTAAATTGATAGAACTGCAGGGCTCATTGTTATCTTCAATCATTTAGTTCTGTTCTCCACATGGGTTTCTTTGCTTCCCAGATGGAAAATGCAGGTAAGGTACTTATTGAAAATGTTTTTATTCATAGACCTAATCCTGCTTGCTGCAAAGGCCCTAGTGTAAACCAGTAACCCCAGATCAAAGTAAACCTGCACACGGTACCTGACTGCATAAGATTTTTTGATACCGAATTGGTGTGCTTGAGCTCTGTATATTGTTTTTTTTGTTCGGTGTTGTGCAAGGTGCTTCAAAAGAGATGCACTAAAAGTGGCCGGAATCTGGTAGTCTGTTCCTTCTCGACCGCAACCTGTGTGTTTCACTGCTTGTTCACATTCAGTGTGTTCGCCATCACCAAATACACTTAAGTATTTCCAGAACATCTGTCTCCAATGTTCAGAAGTAGCTTTTAAATATCAAATCATCTGCAACCTATCATTACAGTATCTTTTTGCATTTTGTGCATCTTAAAAACGCTAAAAAATAACTAAAGTTAGAATATAAAAGAAGCAAAAACAGGAAGAAAATATACACAAAAGCTCTTTGGAAAAGGCAGCCACATTACTGGCGCATCAAAGCTGTGCTTTTTTTTCTCCAGTTCCATTTACTCCATCATGGTGAAAACAATAAGTAAGAAAAAGCAATAAGCTAGCTCTTTCACATATCAAGTGGTCAACTGACTCGGCAAAGATGTGATTAAATGTTCACATTAATTGAAGGCAGAAAGGGGCATGCCCATAGCTCATAATTACTAATGACATGCTGACCAAATCTGGACAAGAAAGCATAATAAAACATTTTGTAGGGCACCATCCGCAATGTAATTCCTTGATTTTACTCTCCGTCAACTTCAAAATCTCTGAAAGGGTCCTTTTTTGGAGTGAAATCACTTGCTCATCTTCTGCATTTAGCCTCCTGGGGTGCTTGACGCTGGCAGCTCTCTCTGACAAGGGTACAGAATGGGATGTTGGCTGATTACAGTCTCGGCGCCTGCGGGCTGCCCCTCCACCTCCTGTTGTTATCTGATCTTTAACGCTTGTCCCAGGCGGATGGTCTGACTGGTCCGAGTGGAATTTGTGCAACGAGGACGGCCTGCAGTCACGCAGCCGATACTGCGAGGTCCACAGCCCAGGCCCAGCGCAGTGTCTCGGCAACAGCACCGAGCACAGGGAGTGCTTGTACAACGAGATACCAGGTAAAATAAACAGCTGTACAAGGCACGCTTGGGAAAACTGCAAGTTAAAGGTCAGGTGAGTGTAATGTGTGAATAGAGTACCTGGGAGATATGACAGGTCACATGTTGTCTAGTATCAGTTTTGTAGTACTTGGTATTTGCGGTACAAAACTGACAGGGGAAATGCACAGGGAAGCTGAAGGGAGAAGAGTAATCTGGAATCTGTGGCTGTGATTAATTAATTCACAATTAATTATCAGATATCCTTGATTGTTAATTAAAAATCCCTTTCCAGTCAGGCATAGGACTTTCAATTTCCAGGAGGAGAGGGAGCCGGTGTCACTCTGAGGTGCCGATAGCCTTCTGTCTTGATTGCCTTGCCACTGTGAGCTGCCTGTCTTTTTACTGTAGCTGGGAAAGTGACACTTACGACAAGCCTGTCCTTTCTTCCTTATGACCTACAAAATAGTCTTCAAAGCCTTTCTTTGGGCTTAATAAGACAGCATGTTTCAAAGTCAAGATTTTTTTTTCCTCAGGGTGTAATTTCTCTGCCAGTCAGATACCCAGTACATTGTTTTAAACCTAATGAACTGCACAAGGTAGCTTTCTTCTACACAGCAAACCTACTCTTATTTATATATATAGTCTGCAAATTGACAAGTGTACTGTGTATGTGTGCATGGAGGCATTCATAATACTACACCTTGGATCATGTGCGGTGCAGCATTAAAAGGAAACATTCATGTATCAGCAAAATCTTTTTTCTGTGAAGTCGAGGAAAAGGGAATAGGAGTTTGTGATATGAGCCAGGTGGTTTTTGAGTTGCAATGAATCAACAGTGAAACAAGAACCCGAGGACACAGGTGAAGGTGACAGCTCTCTCTTTAAAGGATCATGGGAGAGAAGAACAAACTGCCTGACCATGTTATTACAGCTGTTATATTGGCCTCTTTCTAGAGATCTTTGGATCAGTTAGCAACTCAATGAGCTAAAGAAACCAAAGGGCCTCCTCTCTGTGGTATCCTCTTATTAAATAGATTTCTCTCTCCTGTTTCACTGCTACAGTGATTCTACCAGCCTCCAGTTTTGACAAGGACCTGCACTGTGGAGGTGAGTGGATTCACATGTTGCCCCCCTGTCTGATGTTTAATTTTCACAGCTGCCCCCCCCTTCCCCGAGTGCTGAGTGGGATGTGTATAGTAGCACACCCCTGTGGCACTTAGTTACTCCTTGTCACTGCTCAATGCAAGGTCTGGAGGGTACAGTACACCTCCCGAGATGTTCTCAAAAAGTGCAGCTCTAGCCTCTTGGCCTGTCTCGGTGAGTGTGTGTCAAAATCCATGATGACATCTCTCTCTGCAAGCTCTCCGCCCGACCTCGCAACTTTGAAACCAGAATACCAGCATCTTCAAACAGAGCCTTGAGCGCTCTTTTCGATGTAACGTGTGGTACAGCCCAGGCTAGGGACTGTTCAGTTCTCATAACTCTAACACATGGTTTGTGTAAGAGGTGCTGGATAAGGACGCCTCTTTCATGAATAAAAAGACAAAAATGGAGAGAGGGTAGGATTGATGCTCGTGTATTTTTCTGCAGTTTGCTCAGTGTTCAGGGTCACAGAACTGTCTTCTGTTAGACACACCAGTTGAATCGCGGACAACATTGCAAAGAGGGCATGATCAAAAGAAGGACTAAAAAGCCTTGTTTCTTTGAAGTCAGAGTGGTTGTTGTATTGATAGGGAACGTGAACAAAGCATACCAAACAGAACTGAGATTTATTAGGGGTAGTGTTCAAATTCTGTGTAACAACAACAACAAGCTGCTCACAACAGGGAGGAGGCCCAAATAGTTTGAGTATTTTCAAAGTCCAGATTCTTTTCAACTATTTTAAATAGCACATTCTTGATTTTAATGGCTAGCACTCAACAATTTTTTTGATGTTGGCAATCAGAAATGTTGTTCTTCCTCTGTAATGATGCCTCATGCCTTAAAGGAGTGGTGTCTCTCCAACTCCTCAATTAAGTTTGTCTTCCCTCGAGTGGGTCAGCTCTGTAAAGCAGTCTGTATTACTTCACGGAAGAAGGAGAGAGATTTCAATCCCTTTTGTTAATAAGGGCACTGCTGCCTTTCGTCAGGGATGTGAAGCTGAACCAGTACAGTGTGTGTCGATGAGAAGACCACTTGTTTAAATACTGATGTGCAGTGTCATGCAGTCAGTAATTAGGACCTTAACAGAGGTGAGACTCGGCATTGAGTGGCTGAAGCAGACAATCTCCTGTGAGCTCCAGGCTGCAGCAGCAGAATGAGGTGCTCGTTAAGCGTGTACTTCCTCTGGAGAGAAGAGTGCCGCAAGCAGAGTCCATGACCACACACTTCAATTAGCACAGGCCCAGTGCTGGTTCTGCTGGCCGTTTCATTAGCCTTGCTGCAACTCTGAAGACCAGGACCGGCTTAAACCAGATTCAGTCACCCGCTCCTTCCCAAAAGACAAAACCTTAACTCATTTGGAAAACCCTCGGAAACACTTATTAACCAAAATGTCATCACAGTAAAAGAGTGATAACAATAAAAGCAAAGATCCAGTACCTCTTTGGTGCTATACTCTATACAGAAGTTGAGCAAATGAGGAAGCAAGCAGCTGGTATGTTTCATAATTCCTCTTTTTTTTCCCCCCATTTGTCTGTTCTCCAGGGTTCAGTCTCATTCATCTCATTGCCACAGGAGTTTCATGTTTCTTTGGTGCAAGTCTCCTGACATTCCTCATATATGCGTACTGCCAGAAATTCCAGAAGCAGTCCCAGGAGTCTGCAGTGATTCACCCCACAACTCCAAACCACCTGAATTACAAGGGGAACACTACGCCAAAGAATGAGAAGTACACTCCCATGGAGTTTAAGGTAAGGAACAGGGCTGGGTGGCAAGGGAGTTAAGGTGCTGTTACACCCCTGTTTAAAGTTCCTATTTTCAAATTCTAACTTCATACTAAGCAAAAGCTGAGCTGGAGGGTTTTTTTTCCTCCACAGAAAAATGACAGAACGAATTTGTTACAGGATGGTTTGCATGTCCTACATGCTGTTGGACTTGGTGTTCATCACAGGTCTGTCCCCACACACTGCATTGCATAATCCATTCTGCGTGTACCCCGGCATCCAGTCACTCCTTTATTAATCACATCCATTCGTTTTGTTCCGCGTCAGCCTGTCGCATGAGTTTTCCAGCTGTTTGCAGGAAACAGTCGCATATTTAATCAGCAGATGTTGTCTGGTTTGAGGTTATTTTTCTGCTCTCCGTCCTTCCTGTGACACCTAGCGGTATTTTTCTCCTGCTGCTGGAGATCACAGGCTACAGATGGCGACTTTCCGAGTTCTGCAAGAGCAAGGAGCCGGCAGCGGAGGCTTTCGGGGCATATTCAGCTACTCCTTGGCAGCTCTGAGCAGAAAGAATTTGTTGCTAGAAAAGGCGCTGGCCTTGAGCTTGTCTTGCTGGGTGTCGTTAAAGAATGTAACCCTTGAGAAAATGAGCCAAGCACATGAAGTGGCATGACGGGGAGCAAGTGAGATTTGTTTCTAATGAGGAACATGAAGAGAAATGTTAAGTGCTTAATTGAAATTAAGTGAAACAAGATTTCAGCCACACTGAATAATCATGTTGCAATTTTAAATGGAAATCGCACCAGTTCACATATCGCTGTACAGTATTACACTGACAAGGATAGCAGAGCAGGGGTCAATACCTACCTACCTATCTACCAGAGAGAGATTTTAATAGTAACACACATCATTTGATTAGCCTTTTGTCCCCTTTCTCCTTCCTAAGTATTGTTTTTTTTTGTCGTGCTACAACATAAGGTAAACCCAAAGTCTCAGTTTTTTTAATCCCCTCTCCTTTCTGATTCCTGACAGACGCTGAACAAGAACAACTTGATTCCAGATGAAAGGACCAACTTCTTCCATTCGCCTTTGCAGCAAACCAATGTTTATACAACCACTTATTATCCCTCTACTCTCAACAAATACGACTACAGGCCAGACTCCTCTCCCGGACGGACCTACACACACAGCTGAGACGGAGTCTCAGCCACAACTGGAGAAAGATTTAACTCTCTCGCCAATTTCCTTTGACTTCTTCATATCAGAACAAACTCTTTCATGTTCGGGAGCTGTTGCTTGTTTTTAAAGCTGACTTGCTCTGAAAAGACATAGCTGCTGTGGGCTCAGGGCCGCTGAAGGAACTGCCTGCCCAAGACTTTGCACGGTCCGAGCAAGACAGCTGTCATTTTATAAAAGATTTATAAACTGTACAGGGAGGAAAAAAGGGACCGTTTTTATTTGTTTTGGATGTCTTGCTTTTAAGAAAAGGCACTTTTTAGAAACAATAAGAATGGCGTTCCCTGGTGAATGGCATACACTACAACGTGACTGTAACGCTGACAGCTCTGGAATTAGGATTTCCTTTCTCTGCCGAAGAACCTCCGATGTAAATTCAAAGAACTGGTGGCCGGCCTGAAGAGGAAAACAGATAAACGTAAAGTGTTTGACCGATACTTTTTAAGTGTCCTCAAAGCAACACTTTCAGTTCTATAAACTGACACCGCAAGTCTGAAATCTGGTTAGCCCTGCTATCTTAATGTGGGCACATGTAGTTTTCCTTTAAAAAAATAATACAGTAAATAATAAAAGCCATTACTAAACAATGGTTCTAGCTCGTCATGGTATTCCACACTTTGGTACTTGCAAAACTAAATCAATATTAATCATTTTTTTCCAGTGGAAACCCTCCCTCAGTTTCTAGTTTTGTTCCAAGGGTAAAGAACAGATGCTATGAGCCGTTCAAGTTCCTTGAGATGGAAGATGCACAGCATACCAACATGTGCACAAGACTAGGAATGGAAGTGAAAATGGTTTTCCAACTAGGGAACTGAGGAAGTTTAAGGGGGACCTGATTTCAACAGGAACGGTACTTGAAATTCTAGTCTTCCAGTCAGCTGAATTCTGAAAAGCCCAGCTTGATGTGTGTCGGTCTTTTTTTTCACACTGCTGGTTAGATTGGATTTGCTGCAGTGTTTGTCATCACTGCAGCTCTGTTAAGGCGTGTGACTTCACTCTGATATAGAAGAAAAATAGAATGCAAGACTGTCCTTATTCTTGCCTGCTTACCATGATGTCATTTTGAATTTAACCAGCTTCAGAATGTGTAAAGCAATTGACACACTTTAAAAGAGAATTGTTTTCATATATATATTCAACAAAAGGCCGTTAAGAAAACTGATTGCAAGCATGGATGCATTGTGATGATATAATGGAAAGAATGGGTGACTGCTGTCTCTAAAAGGTTTCAATAGGGTGATATAGGTTCCTGATTAGCTTTTTGAGAAATCAGGATCAATGTAAAACAAAATGCCACCTCTAAATGAGCCACATCTTGGATTTGCAATAAATTTAACATGAACATCAAATAATAAACTGCTAACTATCCTGTCCTACACAGTTTTTCTGCAGCATACGACAATATTCCTTGATCATTTGTTTTATAGTCTTATGAGAACGGAGATCGGGGTAATTTGAGGAGGTGAAAGAGTTTGTGCCGTAGCACTGGAGCATAAAACTGGACTTGGGGATTTGAAAAATCGAGATGATTAGTAATAAAGAAACTGTTTTAAGATGAATTGGAAAGGTAATCATGATCAGCTATAATGGCCTGTGCAGGGTATTTGGGACTTTGTGTGTGGAAAGTATATAGCAATGTTGTCATGTTTTTCATCCATTTGGCTACAGTCTTCTATAAACATTGGAACAGAGGACTGTTTTTGTATTGCTTCTTGTTGAGATCTCAGCCACATTTGTGCATGAACTGTTAATGCACAAATTAACCTTTTCGCTATATATATGCACAACCTACCTTTCGCTATATTACTGTATGCATCCGAAAAACAAGAAACCTAATGCGAAGAGTAAATGTCATGGACAAAAAAAATCAATTTGTACAGAAGCTTGGGAGGAATATGGCATTTCAAAACTCAGCAGTCTTTTTCTCATGCCTGTTAAGTGAATGCAGAACAGACAAAAGTCTTCAGTTAATCTAAGCTTGGAGAATCTTACATTTGTACATAGGAGAGGCTGTTCAATGACAATTTAATGAAATTTATAGTTAGTGTAATGTATATTGTATAGCTAACACTGTTTTAAATGCCTTATAGTTGTACAAAGCGCAGAAGTGCTGTAAATACCAACCATAGAGATTGTGAAGAATGGAGTTCATAAATACTTCCATGTAAATCTAAACTACAGCAGAGTCAAACTGCTGTCTTCAATAATGCAAGAGGCTATCAACACTTTTTCTCAGCATTTCTTCTAGAGGAGAAAATTAATTGTGCCTGGTTCCTTTTACAAGACTTTCATTATTACATTTAGAACATTGTCAAAGTATTTCGCCTGCTGGGGTAATCTAAGGTTTAATTTTGTTCCTCTTGCAATCAAACTGATGTTTCTCTGTAGAACACATACTTTTCAGTAGCATTGTCCCTGAAAGTAAAAAGTCTGTAGTCAATACAAACAAGGCATCTTTAATAAATGTAATTTTAATGTTATATAGAGCCACCTAGAGCCCCTACAGCTAAAATAAATGGTGTAGACCTGTCGGTATGGCATAAAAATGATTGCCTTCATGATGATGTGGCCTGCTGTTTGAAGAATTCCTGTCTTTTTATCAAAGCCTAACAAGCTTAATACAAAGCTGGAAGCTGAAGCTGCACATTCATACGTAACATTTTTCAAAATTACAGGCAGTTCTATAAATCTTTTGTCAGGGGAAGAATAAAGTAAGCCATTCTTAAGGTGTTTGTCTTGGTTCATGGAAGCTGAAATCTCCTCACATGCCTGCCTTCTCATGTCCTTGCTGTTTAATTATTTACAAGTATATACATTGCTGCACTGACATTGCAGTCGCTCTGTGCTTGCGTTGTATTGCTGAACTCCATACTGAAGGCTTTGTGCCCTCCTATGCAATTGATTTGGTGGTACTGTTAGATATGTGATCTAGACTGTAATCACTGCCTTTAGACACTGTGAATTTTTGGTACTCTATATTTTTGTATATTGTACATTGTAAAGAAGAATAAAACAACCTTGATGCCAAAGTCCTGTCTTGTTTCCCAAGTCCCTCATACAGAGGGTCCGTGCTCCGTGATGGTCTATTTTCAAGCTGTGCACAAAGAGCCAAGCTTATGCACACTATAATTTATTGTGCTATTTTTAACCCTTAATTTATAGATGGTCTCACAGTCTGTTGGTCACTTCTGCAAATTGCAATCTTACCTCAATTAGCAAGCTGATTAAGACCAAACACAAAGGGGATTCCTTGTAGGTCATTCAGACCCTGATCGAAGTTCATTCTACTTATTGCAACACCTAACAAACTTAGTTTCTTTGGCAGATCTGCATTCTACTTTGAAGGTTTAAGTTGATACACCGAATTACCCTCAATTTAAAAAAAAAACCCATCTCATTAGGATGTATAAAATACAGCTGAATTTTCTCTCAATCTTTTTTATCTCTGGTCTGCACATTGTTGACACTTTGAACCTTACATTTTCATAGAGAAGATATTTAAATAAGATGAATGCCGATTTAAAAACTGTTCTCATGCTTGTTTTCAAGAAAACCATAAAAAAAAAACTGTCGGATCCAAATCTAATTTCAAGCCATGTCCCAGAAAAAAGAGGTGAGAATGCTTGCTCCCGTGAGCGTGTCGCACACAGCGATCCAAGTTAATTGTCGGCAACCGGAACCTGCTGCAGGTGCAGTGAAATACAGATGCCCTGTTCCTCTGGACTTGTCCCGATCTGCCCCAGGATCATCTGAGTCTTGGAAATGAAAAGAAAATGAAAGAGCAGCTGGGGAATAATATTGTTGATCCTAAGAAATAAAAACTGGAAATGTGCCCAACAAGCCAGCTGAAGGACCATGAATTGTCATGACAACTTTTTGACAGAACAATTAACCCACACCAATTAATTGTTCTCCAAAAGGGCATTGCCGTGTTAAAAAAAAAAAACCTGGGAAAGAGCACTGGGTCTTACAGAGCAAAACAATGCATTTTTAAGAATGAGAAGTTGCCTTCGGTCACACCAACCATTTAAACGATGAGCTCTTTGAGTTCTTCATTGTGCATAGTATACGTAATAAGTGCAAAGCAAGACAGGCCCTGCTCATTACTGGCATGAGAGATCTTCGTGTGCAACATGGCCAACTGGAAAACTGGCGTTATCTTCCTGGCTGTTTCTTTTCTAGCATATATAAAAGGTTTGCAAAGTGATTTTAAAACGATACTTTAGTATCCTTTTAAAGGTTTTCTTTTTTTTCCTTCACTTAGGGGAGACTGAAAACAATTTCAAAAAGAATAACTAGGATTACTAGTTACTCGTGACTTACGATGACATTTGGAACAGACGCATCATAGGCGGACTACAGTAAAATAATTTGCCCAGTGTAGGCAAAACACTTTGCACATACTGTAGAGAAATCATTCACTCTTAAAGGATTACTTCGATGTATGCACAGCATGCTTTATAGACAACTGCAGAGGACTATCAATCTTTGCTGTTAGCTTACAGGTTGGCAGTACCTTCCCAAGAGAGGAGAAGCCAGCTGACTATTTGCCAGAGATCCCGCTCCGGCACAGTCGAGGCAGTGGAGACGAACGAGCGCGGACTGCTGGGCCTCCTCCAGCTGCTTCTCTCCAGGATCCTGTTGACGGGGCCGGAGGTGAGAAAGACCTGGAACTGCTACAGGGACACGCCCAAGAAAGAGCAAGTCGCAATGAGGATCACCAGCCTTTCAGTTTGCAGTCGATAAAGAGTCTCTTAGTCTCGGCAAACTAGATGTCACCTCTGGCTCCCCCAGCCTCCCCTTTGAATAAGCTTGAAGAGCTGTCAGGCATGTCTGTCTGTCTGCAGAGAGATCTCCAGTGGATAAAGCAGCTCTGTGGGTGTCCAGACCCTGAACATACACCTGGCATGATCCCATCTGCACGGCCTTATTTTAATGAACATATCCGATTTATTTCAGAAGCAGCATGAGCTGAAATGCCTGGTTAATTGGTTCTTCACCCTTCAGGTCTGCTACCGCGTGTTGTGCAGCTGAAGAAGGTGTGGGACATCTCCTGAACACATCCTCTTTAATGAAATTGCATGAAAACACCAAATGGGATTCAATCACTCCAGACCCTAAAGATAGAGAAAGTGACGTGATTTGTACATGCTTTTCTGAAACAGGATCTGACTCCCACACTGCTGTTTGTACCCCCCGCCAATGATGGCTGGCTGCTTGTTGCTTTGTACCCTTCTGTATTTTTATCTTAATCTGTAAATCCACTAGGCTTCTCATTCAGCTCTCTTCTACTGTGCTCCCAGAAACTCAAACACTAAACCAAATCGAGCAGCAGAAAAAACAATCAAAAATGGTAAACAGCCATGCACACCCATGATTATAAATTATTCACATATATTTACACTTGACGAGTTGCTTAAAGTATCTTAATGTTTAACGTTTAACCTTCCAAAACTGTTGAGAACACTTCATAGAAACCAAATATGTGCAAGTGCTTGCCATTTCTTATAGTGCAGTTCTGAACAACTTCTCTGTTTTGAAGGTTTCTGTAATTTGTCCAACAATAAGATATTTTTTGCTGTCAAAGACTGCGAGAAAGATAGATGGCACAGTACAAAATGTTTCCTCTGCTGAGCACAGAAAAGACTGTGAGCTGGAGTGGAAATTTAAGAGGGTTTGCATCTTCAGAAAGTGGTGAAAGCCAAGCAAATTAATTTCAGGCTTCATATTCTTTCAGGTTGAGAATGATGGCAATACAAAGCCCATTGCCAACTGTCCAAGCTAATCGTAGACAATACAGACCAAATGAGTGTGATGCCATATAATGAAACATCAAATTGCAGCAGAAACAGAAGGAGTGAAGCATCCGTCTCCAGATTACCACTCTCCAGATGTAAGGGTTTCTGCAGTCCAAAGCCAGTCCTGGAAGCACAGTACAGGAGGAAGGACAATCCCTGTGCAGGACTCCAGACCATCACAGCGATACGTCAGAGACCACAAGTAACCTAGACAGCATGACTTTGAGAGGCGGGAGGAAACTGAAGCAGATGGAGAAAAGCCCACATGGACATACTGCGGGTGACTCAGTACAGGTCCAAACCAGGACCCCACTGCTGTGAGGCAGCTGTGCTGGCCATCCCTCCAGAACTAATGTTGTGATAAAATGACCTTGTAATGCCCAGGAGGACCACTGTTCCAGCCAGAGCAGGGTTGTCTTTCCCACTCAAAGCATTTGTGGTTCAGCTGGCACATGCCTTGAGGAAAGAGGTGAAATTGTGTTGTGTCTGTACAAAGGTTACGTATATATTTTTACCGTTTTATACTGGTGGCTTGGTACAGCACACACCCTAGCATTCAATACACAATGCAGAAGGGTTATTGCATTTGCTCCTAAACTTTCACACCATGGTATTTAATCTGGCATTAAAAACATGATTCTTAAACAAAAATGAAACTCCTGTAAAAGCAAAGAAAAAGGCTGTTTCAGTTTTAATAACGCTGAACTGCATGAGCTTCACAGGTCATTCGGCCAGTAAAGATGATACATCTCTGTCTATGAGAGCAGATTCAGCATCACAACTTCCCCGGGAGAAGTTTGATACATTACAGTGCAAGCTGACTGAACCATAGCCCTTCCACTTTCCAAGTTTTCAAACAAAACAAGTATGGCGGTGCCTATAATTTACAGAATTGATGGAACTATCCCGTAGTCATATTAAAGGAAGTGCTAAAAGGATTGGGTAGCTTTATTATGCCGGAAATGTATGGCTGTGTATTTCTAAACTGCAATGATGCTAGCAAAAACGGATATTAGCAACATCAAACTTTCAGAAAGCTTTTAGCTGTCGTTTCAGAAACACTCACAATCCATACAGCCTATTTATTCACACAGCTTATCTCGCCATGCTCTTCTGCAATTTCACTGTCATATTTCTTCTTAAATGTTTCATTCCTGTTCCTGCATTTTTCCTCTTGTGTAACAATTTACTAAATAATAGCTAAGAGTTTTTTTTGTTGTTGTTTTGAAAGGAAATATCAACATGGCAACAATGGCAAAACAGTGCTTGGAATTTAAGCTGACAAGAGGCCTATATTCTAGAAGCATGAGTAACTTATTAATCAGACCTTCCCTAGAGAGTGGCCATGGCCAATGCCAGTATGTTTTGATTATAGTAAATAAACAAATTGAAAGGCTTCAAAACACTAGCAGTAGAAATACAAGGAATGGGAGTTTCTGGACACAAAGAGCTGCCATAGTTTAACTCCACTATTTACAACAGATGTTCAAGTTCAGTATGCTCTGAGTTTCAATATCCTCTGATAAGCAATTGAAGCACATCTGGTCAGGGAAAAGGGTGGATTGAACTTTTGGTCTCAGAACAGTTTTTGAACCTTTGACGATGTCAGGTTTGACAGTCTCACAGTAGGCGCAATGGGACCCCAACATAAATAAAATATATTTAAAACCTTCATCCAGGTGTAAAATGTTACAGACCATGAAATGAAAATATTATTTATTTGCCTATCACACACTTTTATTTAAGGAGATCTGCACTGAAGAAAACTGCATTAAGCGCAGGTACAATAATGCAATAAGTTCATAAAATGACATTAAGGTTGGCACAAGCTGAAAAACATATGTAAGACTGAAATAGTAAGACCACAAGCTGTACACACTGTGGACTCAGAGAAGAGAGAGAGACCATGCTGGACTAGATTTATTCCATGTTTACAGAGTATAATAACCCTACATTCACTGGAGTAGCCTTTTTAATGAGCTTTAAAATGTGGCAAGTGAGTTAAAATAAAACATACAATTTCCCCACAGTTGCCATAAATTATTTTGGGGGGCAAGCTGAGCTTGTACCTCTCTGCTGCTTCGATAATGCACAGGTTGCTGTCAATGCTCGTGCAGATAGCTTTTATACAGATTTTGCAAAAAAGGATGAATGCACAGTATTGAGCTATCATGTTCTATTTTGTGAGGACTTAAATTTGAATGCAGGATTTAAGAATGAAGGTAAGGACATGTCACAAAGGCAA